AAATTCTTTGCTTAGTCAAGATGGCTATCTAGATATTGGCTTCGTTCTTTTTCTGCACTTTTGTGAGCCTCGACTTAATCACCGGTCTGTGAAACGCAAAAAAAAGAACTTCCAATGTCCATTAATCTTCACCCCATGAATAAATCCCGGGGGGTACTTCCTACTAACAGGCTAATGGGGATGTGCCGCTGGATGAGGTCGCATTTTCACGAGTTGGGTTGCAATTTTATCAGAGTTACTAGAATGGGAACGCATGTTTTCGGGATTTGGGGGATCAGAAAATTGAAGTAGGTAGGGATTCAAAAATGCATGGGAAGATTTTTACTACATTGAGTTTAAATAATGTGTCAAGTCATTTCAGGATGACCTAGTTAAAGGGATTTATAAGGTGCATGCATGAACAAAAAGTTACCAAGTTGGGATCGTGAAAATTACATTTTCCCAAAAGTGACCAAGATGGGGTCTATATTTGGCTACAGAATAGACTATAATAGGGTAGGGGTTCTGAGAGGCCAGCGGCACACACTCTGCAAAAATTAACCCAAGTAACCTCTCCCCCTCGGGAAAACAAATGCTCATATCCAGTCCTCACTCACCGCATACTGTACAGCACGGATCCATTTGGCCATAATCGGATCACCTCATTAGTATCCGTGATATCGTGTTTGAGACCATCCTTGATGCCAGGGAAGTGAGTGTCGGGTACCCAGATAAATTTGAGCATTTGTGGATTGAAGGCAAGTCTCTTGGAGTATCCTGTATTGTTATATTGCAGACGTTTGTCCATCCAGTACTGACGAAAGTACATGATTGTGGTAAATTCCTGTTCAAATAAATGAAAAAGAACCCAATTTGTTCAATGGCTTCTAGGGATAAGAATCTGGATATTTCTTTTTTTATTTTTTATGATATTTCGATCACAAAAAAAAAGCGTCCTGAGTGAATAGTTGGGTTGAATAAGCAATGACGCCGTCCTTTCCAAAACACGACACGGGGTTGGTAAGTGAGACATCATCCCCAGGAAATTTGTACTTCTCGCGTGTCTTGAAAAACTCGCAAGTGCTTATATGACTCAAAAACGCACTAGCAACAAGTTTTATACTTTTGAAATAATTGATCTCTAATGGCTTGCGCGCTCTTGTGTTGGTAAATTTTATGGTATTGCGATATATAAACTGACTAAGAGTCCTCGACATAATAACATAACAAACATACCATGTTGATTTCGTCAATATCTCCGATGAACTCGACGAAAACAGACACAGACACATTCACAGGTTCACCTGCGGCAAAACAAACGGATATAATTAATTTTGTTTTTTGCTTCAATGTCGACTGATTGCATGTTTGATTGATTGGTTCATTGGCTCACTGCAGACTGGCTGATCGATTCATTGACTAAAACGATGGAAGAAGTGATTGAGCGATTGTCAAGTTGTTGTTCAACATACTTTGATAGTAGTGATTGACTCTGGCTTATTGAATGAATCAAACGAACGAGAAAACAGACATGTAATCCATGTCCAATGAGAGGCAACGAATTCAAATACTTCCGGAACTGGAGGCCCTGAGGTGCTCTTATAATTAGTTGTTCTTGCAAACCTTTTCCTACACTGATATTGAACGCGAGCATTCTACCCTACTGTAGCTTTCCTTGTAGCTAGGAGAATGCTATGTAAGCAAAAAACTTATATCACTTATATAACAATAAAAATGATAAATAATAATAATTATTAATTATTAACACTAACTAAAAAATTTGAACAATGGGTAGAACTCTGAAAGGGAAAATATATCCGTTTACATAAAAAGAGGGTCACAGGCTAGATTTGAAAAGGGATACTTTTAAATCTCTTTGCATTTGCGTACGAAGTTGGCTCTCGCCGTGCAAGTTTTAATGGTCTTGGGGGGGTTGTTGAAAGAGGCGTGGTACTGTCTTGGAAGGCACCTGAGTGTTTTGGAACAGCAAGATTTAATTTAAATTCCGCCGGTTCTCGTACCTCGAGCCGGAGGTACGGTGGTCAGTCTTCATTATCAAGGGCTTTGAATACCTTTCTGGAGAAGTCGAGCTCCATGTTATAGGTGACGGGTAGCCAGCATGTACATGGTCGCATAACGATTAAGAACAAAACTGGCGGCTGCGATCTGGACACGCTCTAAGCGACGAATGAGGTAATTAGGAAGGTGGTGTGTCGTTATAATATAGTTAGAAAGTACGAGACTTTCGGCTAGTTGTTTCCTAACCGTGAATGCAGAGAGAAAACCTCTTAAGTTTCCTAATTAGAGAAAGAGCGTTATAACAACCCGACATTTTTTAGATAATTTTACTTTTCCATTTCAGATCCTCTTGGAACTTAAATCGTGCCAAGTATCTTAGAGGTTTTCAATCTTTCCTTTCTGAGTAACTCATAGAATCAAAAAGACCGAAAGCACTACATTTTCTTACTTACCTCCAAAGTTTGGACGAAGCCTTTTATCATAGCCCACGAGTAACTTAGCGATCAACTCAGTAACGTTAGTTTGTCCATTCCCCGGTTCAGTTGGTGTTGACAGCTGTCGAGATGTTGGTGTTACCGGTGTTGCTGTTGGGCTTTAGATTTAAAAGAACATGGACTGGTTATCTATTGGGCGTCGAAAGCAGGTTCACAGCTGCCGGGCACTGACAGTGTGGCATTAGCACACTTTATGATTGAGCAGTAAAAGGTAGCGCCATTTTCTTAGCCGTGCCCTTTAGCCAGTAAGAGGCAAAATCAATACCAATCGTATCTGTATTGAAGAAATGTTCCTCCTCCACCAGCAGCTCAATTTATGCAATTCCCGGGATTAACTCTCGCACCTTACCCTTGTGGGTATGAAGGGCCCCAAAAGATATGGTTTTTTCTTTTTCTGGTCTAAAATTAGGTAACTAAGATTTAGAATTGGGTATGTTTTATTATTATCATTATCATCGCTACTTAAATTGTTATTATTATAAGTTTGAGAACCGGGGATGGTACTGTCGCGATTTTTTCCCCTGAGTCACAAAGGTCGGCAAGAAAGTAGAAACAGATTCAACTCCTCTGATTACACAGTCTGTGTGCCGCAAACCACCCCCATATGGGACTGCGACGGTTGCGACGTGATACGGACCGGTCGCGGTCGCTTCTCAAGACCGGCGCAGACCCTTACAGGTCATGTGGAAAGCAGACTTTTCGGCATTATTCTCATAAGATTTTATCAATACGCTTTCCTGAGCTTGACGCGGGCTACATGTACACGTTTGTCTTTTTCTTCTGTCTCCTGATTAATTAGGTGGTTTAAAGCATTGTTTGCGCCTGTATTGATTGACTGAAGTAATAACAAATTTTAACCTTACTACCTGAATCAATACCCAATGGTTACAAACCGACAGATCAAAATTCTGCCCATGCTATGGTTAGATTTATTCGATCTATTACAGCTGATTTACAGAGGTATCCGCCAAAGAAATATATATATATATATATATTTTGTGACGTTTAATATACTTAGTAAAACGGTGTTCGAATGACTAGGCCTCGAAGCTTTTATTTTCGAGCAAAAAACGATACGCGAAATTTATTAATCAGCTGCCGATCTGTTTGTACCCCTATCTCGTTATTACCATTGTTAAAATCAAGCTCAGTAACATTAATGCAAAATAAAAGAAATACATCCTTTGAAAGGCTTATATTCGCAGCCTCGTCTAACACAATGTGCCACTGAGACAGCGTATATGCCGTACATTTCATTATCAGAATGAAATTTTATACGTTGTTGCTTCTAATTGGTTTGCGGTAATGGAAAAAAGTTACACTTAAGTGGATTCGATCAACCAATACACGAAAGGAAAGTTTTGAGGATACTGCCAGTTTTTCGTTAAATTTTCCGTTATTACTGGCAAAAATCCTGATGTTCGTTGTTATTTATTTTTTTAACTTTCTTGAGAATTTGCAGTCAGTGAAATTGCAAATATTTTGAAATTGAGAAAATATTAATAATATATACTATGTGTATGTGAATGGTCCAAATATTTCCGATGCAAGAAAGGATTCTGATAATATCACGAGAACGGATAAAATAGGGGGTTTTCTTTCAGTTTCCCGACCTGATATAATTAATTTGCGAATCAATTTGGAACGCAAATTCCACATGTTTTGATCAGCGCGCGTACTTTGTTTTTCCATTGAACCTCGATACAAGCGTTATTTTTTAGATTAATTCAATCAGACTAAAAAGGTGTGATCTATACTTTGGATTCCAAAATTGATCGGTGCTAATTTTTTCAGGTAAGGATGAATAAAATTCTGTGGCAATACGTGACAATATGGCGGAAACGAGACAAACCACGAAGCATAGTCAAAAGTTATCGGAAAAATTAGCACTTGGAAGGATCAATAGCTTTTAGGAAGAAAAAAATAGAAATAGCGTCAGGGGAGAAAAAAAAAAACAAGATTAAATCTCTTAATTGGAAGAAACCCATCTATATTACTTTGGCTGTTAAACTCAAGTCTGACATGATTTCACAGAAGAAATATATGGATTTGAAACATTTATGTGGATGTTTTAATTTGTTACAGCGAGCGCGATCCTTTGTTTTTAACTTTCTTGGAAGATGTCAAGTATTAGGAGAGACACTTTGAAAAACAATTATAATTATATGCATGCCCAAGTATAACTGAAATAACATATATATTTTTCTTATTTTACCTTTATCGTTGAGGAGAGAATGTGAAACGTAACTTTAAAACTTAACCTAATATGAAATCGCATCTCCTCAATGAATGCTTTCGGAATTCGTTTTGGAAAAACTACAAGTCTGCTATAGCTTTATTCTATTAATTGAACAAATTGTTTTGAAAAGACAGAAAAACAAAGGTAGGAGAAGCAATAGGTGTCTTTGTATACAAGCAGCATCGAAAAATCTGCCAGATTTTCTTTCGAAAAACAAGCTACCATTTAAAATATAAGTCACGGATGCCCCGTGGAGTTTATGCAAAACTTTTTTCGGGGAAGCACACAAAACTTCAATTTTTCAAATTCAACCGAAAACATCGCTAAGCCTTGTTTCTAACAGAAAACTCAAGGCAGGGTGTTTGCAAAACGAAACCAAACCAATTTCTAAGAAAAGTTATGAACCAACGTCGTTATGCTAGTGCCGAGCCACAGGGTGCTTACTATATATTTCGACAAGTTTAATTAAAGTGGTAAAAGTTATGGTCTGCCGGTCAGTATGAACTAAGATCAATGCTGCTAGTTCTTTGTTGTCAACTCGCCGTAAATCCCCACAATCGCTCCTGAGATATTGAGGTCCAATGCTAAATCATCGCCTTTATAATCTTAAAGACCGTTCAGTGTTTTATGGCCGCTACGACTGATGAATTGTCAAACAGTTGATTTATTGGCGGCAAATGTTTACAATACAGATTTGGTTAATTCTTAAGCGCTTTAAAACCTCTCCAAGACTGATTCCGCATGATATTCTGTCCATTTTAAAGTCTTTCTTCGATCCCTCTACCTTATTTTCCCCGAGGAAAAAGTTTTTGGAAGCGAAGTAGTTTGAGCATTGAGCGAGAGAGCACGGTCGGATAAGACATAATCGAGCGGGTGAAAACTTCTGTGTAAAGTACCAAATCTTAAGGAAACAAGCTCCAGGTTCAATTTCTAGCTCAAATATTTCCGAATTCTCATTGTTTGAGTGAACATTTCAAACTGAATGGAATTCAGTGCCAGGAGATTTTTATAGTCCGAAGTATCTAATGGGCGTCGTTGTGCCTTTAGGTTGACATTTGCGAAGAAAACACGACAAAATAATGTTTTAGCTAGTGATAGCCGTGATTAAATACAATTCAACCTTTTTACCTGGATTGGATAATACTGCTGTTAACTGCAAAAGCCTGATTTCCAAGAAAAATCAGAACTGTCAAAGTGAATGCCACCATCATGTTTGCGTTTTTAATCCTGTCCAAGAAAGGCGTTGCCATATAATGAAGCAGCAAAGGAGATTTTATGCATATTTAACTTACCCAGCACAGAACAGGTGTATTCTTCGCCGACTGATATAGTTATAAATCAACATTCAAATACGATGGTTAATTGTAATGAGATTTAGTCAATTCAGATGTTATTGCCAGATGAGTTCAAAGAATTCTGGGAACTGTTAACAATGGCGGACTCAGTCTCGAATGAAAGAAGATGAAATATAACTGTATGATTGTTTAAAAAAAGCCTCAAGACAAATGTGAGGTCCTTGGGATTAAAGTATTTTCTATCTGCAAAATTTTAGCTCCTGGGAAATTTACATGAATGGCTCACTTCAAAGATGTATTTGGTAATTTTGCGGTTAAAAAAGAACAAACGCATTTTAAAGTTTTTTCGATAGTTTATGTATTGCTGTACTGAAACAAGCTATTTTCAATGAACAGACGTGAACAGAAAGCCCAGCCTATTACACAAAGAAAAATAATTTATTATCATTGAAAAACTTTCTCAAGGAAACTAGTAAACAATGCTTCTTAAATATTGCGTACAAAATGTTGCATAAAAACTGTTGCAAAGGCACTTGATACTAGTTTCATAAATCACAAGAAGACTGCATGTCAGGAAAACGAACAGAATTTTTTTTCCATTTGTTTTTTTTTTTTGAAATCTGGAGAAAATGTTGAGGGCAAGGGCTAAAACCAAGAGGAGTGAATGAACAGTCTCTACTAAGAAGAAAATAGAGAAAGCAGCGAAAATAAAAGGCATAAGGAGAAAACATCTTGGTGCTTTAAATTTATAAACAAAAACGAAATGATCTTCGATGCACCGTATGTCGAGAGTGAATGTGAACAACAACAGATGCTTTTCTATTCTTTTCTTTATGTGAGATAACCAACACAGACGCCATGAAACAGTTAGTGGTACAGGCTACTGTTGAGGTGTCAGGGTTAATTAAAATCCAGCAAAATAGAAATACTCTAAAAAAAACCAACTCACGTTGCTCACTTATGCAAGCCAAGAAGAATTGGATCCCGATTTAATCAAGTAGAAAGACTACTTAGTTTGCCAAATACTAAGGGAGCTAAGTTGTAGTTTTTTTCGAGAAAGTCAGTGTCATACAAACCTACAGATAATAAATAATTAAGAAGAAAAGATGTGTAAAACACCCAAGTCTTCTTTGTTTATCTCAATGACTGTTACTGTCACAATATTTTGCCTTTCGTCCGTCATGAAATTATTTTGTTTTTCGTTCTACAAAAAATAATAATCAATAAATAATGCGAATTTTACAACAAATATTTTTAAAAACTTGGCTTGATCTACAGTACAAAATGTTCTGATTCTACAAGAAATCAGTCACCCTGCAAATTCGGCGGAATTTATTTCCGAGTTTTTCACTATGGAGAAATACTTGCTTTTCGGCATCTGTTAAAAGAAATGTTATTGAAATGGTTTTTAATAGTTTTTGTTTGGAATTTTGTTTTCCAAAAAGAAGGAAGGACAGAAAAAGAAGATCTACAGATGGAGATCATAATCTATTATTTATCATTAATGTTTTCGACCTAAACCTTATCATGACATGAAAATCAGTTTTAACGATGACTGTATTTAAAAGAAGGAACCTAATTTTCGCTGAGAATCCAGAATGCTTGTCCCAAATTTAGAATTTCATTTTTTGCCCTTTTCATTTTAAATTTCAATGAAATTGTATCTCATACAGAACCCCAAATCGCTTATACGATATGCAAAGAACTTGACATTACAGAGCTGAGACATAAAAAATACTCTAAAAATACTCTCGTCAGCTGGACAATAGTAAGGCCAAACTTATGCCCAGGCTTCACAATCCAAACACCTTCCAGTTTACCAGGTGACACAGGGTGAAATATTGTCAGGTGCAAATTATTCTTGTTAGGTTGATACTCACGATGGTTTTGCTCCCGGAGCATGCTCCAGGCTCATTTTGCACGTGTCAGTACACACGAGGGAGCGTTTTCAAGTTCGCTCAATTTGCCCCGGGAGCTTGCTCCCAAATATCTAACCTGTTAAATATCGTGGAGCATTTTGAGGGGTGGAAATTCTGCTTCCGAGGATTAAATATACCCATGAAATCGTTGGTACACACGGAGGAGCTTTGCTCCCGGAGGGTGCCCCTGGAGCATGCTCCGGGAGCAAATTCCTCGTGTGTATCGGCCTTAACGAAGCTCACTCGAAAGTCCCTCACAATCACTGGCAACAAGATTGAAAGCGCTGGATAAAATGTGTTGGGGTTACAGCTTTGTTTCTTTTTCTTTTTCTCTGGTTGTTTAAAAAAAGTACTTAACAGAAAGATGTAAGATATAAAGTGAATAATGTACTATCTAGAGACAACATTAAGAGGCAGGGGGAGAGGAAAGAAAATGACAGGAGGAGTAAGGCAAGTGATCGCGCTCGCTTTGACCCTCGCCTCAGTTACAAGTTAACCGAATAACAATACGGGAAAAAAGGGTGAACTTTCCAGAGTGTGCCATGATATGTTATGCGTGGAAGCAGCGCTTTTAACAGATATTGAAATGCCCGTTTCCGGTCATCGTTCACAAAGAGTTTCATATAAAAATCAACCACGCACGCACGTCCCATGTTATCACTGCAGCGGCTTCTTTAGCCTGATTCTAAGACGTTCTAAGTCACGCAATAGGGAGCTTTAGCATCGACGACGGCAACAGAAGCGAAAACATCAGATTTAAAATGAATTCACGTTTTTTCAATCTTTGTCGCGTTTATTCCAATTTGCTGAAAATGGCGAGTGTGGACGAATTTCCCTGGAGTTGATTTCTAGAGGACCGCACTCAAGTTTAGAGAGATAAAAAGAGATTCGTCGTCGCTTGTTTACTTCCTCCATAAAACTTGCAATTGGGCATTTTCACGTCGTAGTCGTGCAAGGACAGTAAAGAAATGTACAAAAAACGTGATGCACGAGCAAAGTTGTTGTTTTGCCAACCTAAACCTATTACTTTTTTGACGTCCTTTTTGCCGTCGCCGACGTCGTTGCTAAAGCTCCATTGTACTATATCCCTTCGAGAGAACGCATGGCCGAGACTGACCTGGAACGTCTGAGAATCAGGCTACGGTTTCTTAGGGGGAAAACACACACACAGAAAGCTGCCAGGCATTCATCAGTGATGAACACATTTTCCTATGACAGCACTTACTTACAGTCCAATAGAAATCACAGCGGTAATATGTTTGGTTAACCTAAGATGAGCACAACATAACTCAGTCGACGATTCTTTTATTCACATTACTATTCAAGTAGATAATAGTCAAATGTTCATCCTCCAGCGATCAGGAGATCGTGTGTACTTTAAGTGCAAGCATTAAATAAGAATGTAACTACTGCATCAGCTCGTCCACATGAAGAATTCAAGACACAACAGATACCATTTTTTTATATGTAATTAAATAAATTCTCTTACAGTGCGTGAGTCAAGTACTTTTAGTAAGAGCAAGAGAGCTCTCTTGGTTAGAGGTATCAGACACCTCTAGCCCTCCGCGCCCTCCACCACCCCCCGCCCTTCCCTAAACCGGTTCACACAGGTCTGAAGACCAAAGGTCCCAAAATATGTAAGCATATAAATAAAGTTGCTTTGCATTAAGATTGATTTATTTTGCTGCAACTACCAAGCTTTTACTTCAAAACGAGGCCAAAAGCGTTTTCGTTACGCAGCCTAGTTTTGCGTCGTATGATGTTTCATCTGGTGGAGTTCATCTGCTTTCAGCAGGTGCTATCTCGCGGAGGGCAAGAAATTAGGATCCAAATAGTTATAGCCTGTACTCGTGGCTCCTTCACTAAATCCGACATAATCTCCATCCACAAAGAAGGAAGAGTTTCCTTTTGCTGGCTCCAGGCTATGTTCGCTCGAATGAGAACCAATATTAACGTTGCCCCTGAAGGAAGAAAAAAATTGAATGCTACAGGAGATATTTCACGACCAACAATATTACCCTTTGGAAGCCAAATTTAGAAAGTATTCGGGAACTAAAGACCAAGTAAATATCTGCTAACCGTTTTTGTTCAGTTATTGTACTGTTATCGTAGTGTTATACAAACATTTTTCAGGGCATACGATATAAATCCCCTTTCTGAATTAAGCACACCCACCTCATGAAGCGTAAATTTGAGGAAGCCTCCTGGAGACTAAACCAAACCTTCCAAACGGTTTGTTAAGAGTCTAAGGTCCTGTTTATATGGAGAAAAGTCGTCCCGCAAAAGAACGGGTACCCTTCAGGCGAGTCAACTTTAGAGATCGTTTATATGGGAAAAACGTTGAATCCTTTGCCCCTGGTCAATAGCGTTCGCGTATGCTCTGATTGACTCACCTTGACCGAGTTGACCCGGCTGGGTGAGCCAACGTTTTTATACGGAGAAAAGTTGGGTTGGCTAGATGGGTGACCCTAATAGCCGGACCAAACTTTTTGTTTCTCATGTTAAGTGTTCGCCAAGTTTTGTGAGGAAATGTTGGCCCCTCCAGGGTAGTTCGGTTTGGCGAGAGACCCCTCCACCGGGGACAAGTTTTCTCCATAAAGGGGTAGGGGGGGAGGGCACTCCCTTATGTAAGTCATATAGGTATGTTCTAGCCTGCGAGCAAGCTCTCCTATTTGGGCGAGCGAAGCGAGTCTCGCGAGAACACGCGAGCGAGCGGCGAAGCCGCGAGGGGCAGGCGCGTTCTCGCGAGGCTCGCCCAAATAGGAGAGCTTGCTTGCATGCTAGGTATGTGCCGTCTCAAGGGGTATGGTTTTCGCGCCGTTTCGGTCTGAAAACGGGTATAGACTTTGCCCATTTTAGTCTGGAATCGAGTATGGTTTTCAAGGGATCTACGGGATGAGTTTAAAAACGAATTTATTATTTCAATTCCAAATGAGTAAGAATGAAAGAGAAACATGCGGATTCGAAATGGATTTCGATTTTTTTTGTTGGCGTTCCAGTCCAAGTAATGATGACTTAATTTCGGCCTATTACAGGTCTTAAAATAATAGTTTGGGGTCTGAAATAGGGTCAGGATTTGAGCATCCGGGAGGCACACCCCCATCAAGAATTTCCAGGAGTGCACCCCGGGTATCCATATCAACGGGACCTAAAAGAAGACAATGGGACTGCACCTAGCCTTCATAACAGGCGCTTTATGAACCAAGCGTGGCGAACACGGCGTTTCCCGCAAAATCCCGCGTTCGCCTCCCTTGGCTCATAAAGTGCCTGTTATGCGGGCTAGTCTGCGCCATGATTCGTCGCTTGTGTGGCAGTTTTTAATGACAGGGGAGAATTCCCTTGAGAACACGTTGCGTCCCCCCTTTATTTCCCCCCCTTTCCCCTTCCCTTACCAACGCCTGCACTACCCGAGGGTCAGTTTTTAAGCCTGACAGTTCAAGTTTATACCAACCTTTCGACACACTCGTTGCAGAAATCAACACTATTATCTTTCGAACAGTCATTACAGTGCCATCTTGTGCCTGGTATGGGACTTACTCCACAGCCATCGCACTGCGAAGTCGAAAATATTCATTATTATTTAATATATCATTCACACTCGCCAACAAAAAGTGAACGCATAAGTAAATTCGCATCACGTGGTTATCAACTGGACTATACATTGAGTTAATCAGTATCCAGACGATAGAGCTTTATGCACTGGATAGCATCATCTACCGTTTGAACAACTGGGGCCTAGGCGTTTGGTATTCGCCCATCTCCTGCCTCTAATTTGATTGAAAAACAGAATAACTGGCGTTGCCTGGTTTACCATAAATCCGTTATGCAGGACTCTTTCCTCCGTTTGCTGTAAATAAATAAATAAATAAATAAATACAAACTCTCTCATGCTTTCCAAGCAGATCAAAGTTGAAGTTTACAACAGCAATTCCTTTCAGTAGTGAGCCAATTTATTTTTCTTACAGAAAAGAATTTGATAGTGAAGCGAGGCCTCTGAAAATTAGGAGTTTGTTTTGCGTCAAGAAACCAAAGTCACTAAGTCAGTTGTAACTTCTTACACAAGGATTCAGTGACTGTTACGTTGGTGAAACCAAGCACATCAGTACTCGGAGAAAAAATATCTTGCGCTTTCAAATATTCAAGAATTACTAAAGACTTTGTCGCTAAAGTTTGTGGACAAAAATCTTCGCGCAACGTTGATAACAGAGCTCCCCTTTATAGAAATGACCCCTCCCCCACCAGATTAATATTTCTCCATAAACAACTTAGGATGTAAAAGCAGCATTGTAGTTAAAGGTAAGGGTTTAGATGCGCTTCGGACTCACCACAGAAAAACCGATGAAATTTACTATGCTTAGACCGCATGCAGTACCTGATATTCCACAATTTTTTGCCTCTTGATTCTCTTGAGTTCCATGAGCTCTTTGTAATCCTCCGTATCTCGTAGATGAGCTGGCACTGATTCCTCGTCCTTTAAGATAGGATGCCGAAGATTAAATGTTAACTGAAGCTCTGCTATTGATTGACTTACTTGAATTTCCCTATCAGCTATTAACTTTAAGGGCCTGTTTACATGGAGGTGGGGCTATGGACAGGCGGGTTACCTATCCCTCATCTCCGTGTAAACAGGCCGGCCCTAAAAGAGGAAGTCCAATCATTATAAGCTCTGTGACTCTTTTAGGATTCTTCACAGCATTACTTTTAATCACATAAAGTCACAGCAGAGATCGCGTTAACGCATTGTATTGTCTAAAGTTGATGTTTTCAAACAAAGAAAAAGACAATTAAGCCTAGTTAACAGTATGACAGTAATTTGCCAGTCATTCTTTCTCATAACAACAACAAAAAGGATTTCTTAGGGGAGGGTCACCAAGATTTTGGGACCCACCAAAAAATGCTTGGGACCCCAATTTGACCGGACATGTGGGTCCGAGGGCCCAGATTGAAAAATCCTAGTGCCATCCCTGACAGTGAAACCATGACATTGAAACCAAACACAAACAACGTGATACTTTGATACACAAACAAGCGCATTTATGAACAGTGTATCGCGATCACTCAAATTCATCGCTTAATAATGACCAGCAGTAAGCTACATTGTGAAAGAAGCGATGAAGCTACCATTTTAAAAGATCTCTTTATTGAAAAAGCAGTCACCTTACCGACAAATATCCGCCCGTGTCATCTGTGGCTATGCTTGATGTGTCATCTTCGTCGTCCATCAAAACTTTCGGTCGATACGACGGAAAGAACGTGGAATTACGAAAACCAAGAGCTTGATAGTGATGAGATGCCCGTTTGCTCTGCAACAATTGGAACCGTATAAGAAAACCAGGGGCGCTTTCCATTTAGGCAAAATTTCCGGTTTGACCGGTTTAAATGCAAATGGTACGCGCGGTTCGACCGGAAATTTTCCGCAACAAACGGACGACCTTCCCGTTGGAACAGAAATTCCCGTTCCATTTGCGTGAATAGAGGATGTTAGCATCGACAACGAGTACGAGTTCTAGAACGAGATCAGCGATTTTGTGTACTGCGCATCCGTTCTGCGCATCTCCACGTTTTCAAGTCGTCCTGTCAAGTCGCACTACGACGAGTTCTCACCAAAAACTCGAAGTGGGTAGAACGACTTGGAAGAGCTGGTTTTCAAAGGTAAATTCCGATCGTTTAATGCAGTTTCTTTTCGTTTCTTGCCTCTCTTTATCATCTTGAACCTTCCTTATACCATGTTTTATGTAAAATACTGCTTTTGAAGTCGAGAAAAAGCAACCGAACGCGATATTTCCTACACAGAGTAAATTTGCATTTACCCGGGAAAGTTTCATGTCTCTCCACAGGCCTCACAGGCTCACGAAATAACCCCTAAAATTGCCATTATTTGGTCGAAAATATCCCAACAGTCGAAGATATCAATAAAGAACACTTACTTCTTTATCCAGTGTGGTTGTTGTGTTGAATTTGATGGGTTTTAACGTGTTTTAAGACCGCGACTAACCATCCTTCGAGTTACCTCGAAAAATCGGTTTTAACCTAGGTTAAATTTTTAAGAGTCATTTTTTGTTTTCGAAATTGTCGTGGAAGCGCTACCTCGACTCAAATTTGGCGCCCAGTCAAGCGGAATCCCATAATTTTATTTTCTATAAACTCGAACTCGGTGTCATCGCTAACATAGAAAGCTGAGAAAACGACTTCGAGTACGAGTACGGCTTGAAGTCGTTCTCGTACTCGTACTCGTTGTTGATGCTAACATCCTCTAATAGCAACGACGACGGCGACGTCAACAAGAACGGCATAAAAGCAATAGGTTTAGGACCTGTTTACATGGAGGTGAGGGACTCCAGGTAGGTGAGGTAACCCGCTAATGTGTGGTAACCCGCCAGGCCATATAAGCTCTTATATTAATTTGATCACGTTTACATGATAGGTGGGGTGACCCGCCGCGGGTTACGTCACCTACCTGGGGTCCCCAACCTCCATGTAAAAAACGGGAAGGGAACTGGAGCCGAAATGCGTCCCGGAATTGTTTCTGGGATAGTTACTGAGAACGCGCCGGTCAGCTATTGGCCAATTATTTTCCCTGTCCCTAGTAACAGTCCCAGAAGACTTTGTGACAGTTAACTCGGCCCAGTCTCTCTCACGTTTCTAAAGTGGCGAATTGGCAATGTTGAGGTTATATGTAAGACTGGGTAGTTGTTTTTATTGCACTAAGCAGTTTAAGATACCACGAGGGCGACGTCAATGAGAACGTAAAAAAAGCTATAGCTTGACGTGCACCACGCTTTTTTGTACTGATTTCTTTAACCAGCATCGTTGCACGACTACGACGGGAAATTGCCTAATTTCACGTTTTATAGAGGACGTAAACAAGAGACGACGAAATTTTCTCTGAATTTGGATATGGTTTTTAAGAATTCGGCTCCAGGGGAAGTCACTTACATTTGACGAAGTATGCGAGTTGGAATAATCACGATAGAGATTTAAAGAACGCAAATTAACTTTTTAAGTGACGTTTTCGTGCCCATCGCCCTCGTGGTATCTTTAACTCCCTACTATCAGACTATGAGACTGTCAGATTGGGGAACGAATTTTGACTCCGTTTCATACGCAACTTCGCAGTAACCAGTAACCAAAGCTGGGTCAGCTGTCGATGTAGTGGAGAGATGTAGATGTAGCGGAGAGTGCGCTCTAGCGGCAACCGGTCAAGTCGCCCGAAAGTCATCTCGCCCGAAGTTATGTCGCATGAAAGCAGAGTTATATCGCCCGAAAATTATAGTTAGGTCGCCTGAAATTATAACAGGTGCAACACAATGAGAAATAAAGTGGAATAAAGTAATGTGTGTCATAGATCTCGTCCTTTAAACCATAATGAGGTGAAACGCGAAAGTAACTGCGTAATGATGAGACGAAACAAGCGCGATAAATGTGTAATAGAATGTTAGGGTGTTGTGGAGCATGATCAAATTTTGGGCGACATAACTCAGGATTTCGGGCAACTTTACTTTAAATTTCGGAGGACATAATTTCGGGCGAGACGACTTTCGGGCGACTTGACCCACCACCACCCCCGTAAACTAACCCTAACTCCAGGCCGTGGAAGGTTGGGCATTCGTCCCGGAACAGGCAATCCAGATTTGGCTAATTTGATGAAGTATTTCTGCACTCTGCTGGCAACCTAAATAAAAGGGAAGATTAATCATTAGGCGGTCGAACCTAAAATTTTCGAGAACTGAAAGTAGCCAGATATTAATTTTCCACCAATACGACCAGTTTTGGGCCATGAAAATAAGCTATAAGGAAACTATAAGCCTAACTACGTAGTGATGACAAGATGTATTGAGTCTGACAATACATCTTAAAACATATATCTATAGAGCGTTCAATTACACACTTTGAACGACTTTCAGTAAAAAAACGTCTTTCTTCGTCTTTTTCCACTTGCCAACAAATCTCACCAAGACAATTCGACTGGTCATATTAACCAAGGAAATGTGACGATTGGGAGCAACAAAAAGTAATCGTTCGTCTTAATAATGGGGTGGACGTGTTACGTAGGTTGCAACGTACGAAAATAACTGCGCTGTCCGGGCCAGAAAAAAGTGGGTTGTAATAAAGAGCAGGTCGTATGGGAGTGGTTTTATCATGCTGTCTTCACCTTTGCAAAATTTTGTTGTCTTTACATGGCAATCACAATTCCACCATGAACATTGGGGGTCAAATAAAGCGTTTTTGCGATAAGAGCACTTTTTACTGAGCAAATAGTAAGTGGAGTCAATCATGGACGCATCGTGCATGGTATTCTCGGAATTCGCAGCTGGACTTATCACTCGTCCATAAATTCACTGGATCATGGTAGATTTCATTAAAGTGGAAAAACGATAGTCTTGGGTATCCAGACATCACTCCCTACCATAGATAACTTTGGTCGAACATAGGTTAACTTTAGTCGGACATAACCCGATGACCGGTTGTTATCTGCAGCTCTATCTTGCCTCTACGAACACCAACATCTCCAAATTTCACCCAAATAAGGGATATGGTAGACGACAACTCACTTTGTGGATGTGTGACCATCAAATCATTTAAGTTCTATGTTATTGTCCAATACCATCATTCAGATGGAATCAAGTGATAGTAAACTACTGTTGACTACGAGAGTTGAATTGAGGAGAGGTGGAGTAGAGACCCTGCCTTCCTGCTTTTAATTCTAACGGTTAGTCTGACATACACCTTAGAATATAACAAAAAAAGAACCTGTTTTAATGTTCTGTTTCCCAATGCTGCCGCAATTTTCTCCCATCTCTTAGACTCTACTTCTTCTTGAGGATAAATCTGCAGCAACTTCTCCAATTTGGCCTGGAGGTGAAACAAAAACTGTCGGACAAAGAGCCGCAAAAACTAGCTGGATTGTTCTCCACTAAGTAACAATACCTTGCTCTGTTTACATGAAGCCAGCCTTAAAATAACTCGAGACCGATCTGACTCATTATGCAGGCCCAACCCACAACGGCACCCCAGTCTCAAATTCAAATGGGGGAACCAAATTAACCTGCAGTGCAGGCATATTTTGGGCGGGCGAAAGCTTGTTTAAGTTCGTACTATTGTAGCCGCCATCTTTGATTTTAAGACAGGGACATCGGGGAGACTTGCCCCAATTTCTCCTCTCTTTTGGAGTTTCAACATGGCGCTTTCGCGAGCAAGAACATTCGCGCGCCCAAAGCAAACGCCTGTACTGCAGGTTAGAACCACATAAACAAATCCAGGCCACATAAATATGAAAGCCCGGGGAGGGAATCCCTTCACCTTCACCTATTCTCCTTATGCCTCATGACACATACATGTAAGGCCTCCCTCCCTCCACAGAGTGTTTCCCCAGGCTTTTCTCGGTTAGCTGCTATGGTCCTCACTTCGTCCCATGATTGCCATCCGGCTTCCTTTCTTCCTTTTCCAACTGTGCACAAGTTAGAGTAGCCCCCCAAGCAAAGGTCAGTTTTAGGGGTTCATCACGCGTTCCTGCCCCAGGAACGCGTCGTGACGAACCTCTAAGAACGTCTGCGTGGGAGGCTAAAGTTAGAGGGACTCCCTCAGATAAGCAAAATGGCTATGTGTGACACCAAAAGGTATGGGTTTGGCCCCTTTTCACCATTTTGTTCTGAATTAAGGTTTTGTGCTTTGACCAAGGTCTGGAATGAGGTAGTTCTTCATGTATCATTTTTTGCTTTCAGAACGGTAGTTTAGGTTTCAAATAAGTAGGAAAAATCATATAATTTGGTCTAAAATAGGATCAGGGTTTTAGGAAGCACGCCTAACGCCTCTCCCCTGCCCCCCCACCACCCCCACCCAACACGACACCACCGAGCACCTAACACCGTCTTCACAGCTTGATTCTCATCCATGAGTTAATTACACCTATTTCGTGAAGTCAGCCTCACTATTGTGAATTTTGGTTTTGTTCTTTTCGCCAGGTCTGTGAATAGGTAGGTTTTCATATATCATTTTTTTCTTTAAAAACGGGGTTTTAGGGTTTCAAAAAGTAGAAAAAATCAAAAAATTTTGTCTAAAATACGGTAAGGGTTTTAGGGAGCACCCCCTACCCCCCCCCCCCCCCCCCCAACCAACCAGGAGTACTCCAGAATCTACGCATACCTGTTCTTCGGTTGTCCATGGTTGATTAAATGTAACTGGTTTCTGGTCGTCGCAGAAACGACCACGTACCACTTTGCCATTTGTTGCATCACTACTTCTTGTGGTAAAAACACTGGTTAAACTAAAGGAAATGACAGTAAAAAGCATTTACATTACTTAGCAATGACAAGGTGTTTTATCATGTTGTCATGTCTGACGGTACGTACCCAGAATACACAAGAGTAACAGGTCAATTCATTCAGCCTAATGTCGATTCTTCAGTCGCCACTAAAAGGCGAATGTTGTTAATATAACGAGAGCTTAACTCAAGAACACCCCATCGTAACTTCGGTTTTTTTACACTGAAAAATAATATTACTCAAATTCGTCATAGATTCCGTCTTAATTACCGTATTTATTCGATTAACTGCCCTGGGCGCTTATTAAATTTTTGGACCTTGATAGTGGGCGCTTATTCGAGGTGGGAGCTTATTCGAGGCTGGGCGCTCATTAAATTTTCACCATTCTCAGCAAGTTTATTTTGCAACAAAACAATAAAATTAATAATGGTAGCAACAAAAAGCGAAGATGTAACAAAGCAAGGTTTCTGTACAATACTCTGAAGAAAACTCCGTCTTCGCTTCGGGAGGGTCCTTATTATCTCTTATTGGAGTTTGTGTGGGAGGGAGTGGGGTGGGGGTGGGCGCTTATTCGAGGCTGGGCGCTTATTAACTTTTTCTGCCTTCAGGATGAGGGCCTATTCGAGGTTGGGCGCTTATTCGAATAAATACGGTATTGTGGTTTAAGTCGATCTGTCAAACATGTGCTTAACACGATTGATTTGAACTAAACTTGAGAAGCAGGAAGAAACTGTTTTAACGATGAGCTCGTGAAAAGTAAGGCTCGAGTCAAAAGTCACGCCTTGGTCTTAAACGAAGCGTGCTGGTATTAGTTCTTTTCCTAAAAGGGAGAAACGGATATCCGAAAGATTTTGTAACCATTGCCGTCTTCCATAAACAATAAGCTTAGTTTTATCAGGATTCAGGAAAGGATGATTTTCGAGGCACCAGTTTCAATACATTTTTTCCTCAAAAACCCAGTGTTTATGACAGCAGACGTCTGACATCAGACGTCTGCTGTCATATAACTGTTATCAGACGTCTGATATTAGACATCAGATGTCTGATGACAGTTATATAACATAACATATAAAATCAGACATCAGACGTCTGATGTTATTTGTCTGATATCAGACGTCTGACATCAGACGTCTGATGAAAGACAAATGACATCAGATACTGAAAACAATTATATGACAGCAGACGTCTCATATCAGACCTCTGACTTTAGACAACTGACATCACATAACTGTTATCAGACGTCTGATAACAGTTATATAACATAACATATAACATCAGACGTCTGATAACAGTTATATGACAGCAGACATCTGACATCAGACGTCTGCTGACATACAACTGCAATCATATAACTGTTACCAGACGCTTGATAACAGTTATATAACATAACATATAAAATCAAAAATCTGACGTCTGGTAACAGTTATATTACAGCAGATGTGTGATATCAGACATCTGACATCAGACGTCTGCTGTCATGTAACTGTTATCAGATGTCTGATTTCATATCAGACGTCTGATATGAGACAAATGACATCAGATGTCTGATAAACATTATATGACAGCAGACGTCTCATATCAGACGTCTGACATCATGATATCTATTATCAGACATCTGATAACAGTTATATAACATAACATATAAAATCAGACGTCTGATAACAGTTATATGACAGCAGACATCTGACATCAGACGTCTGCTGTCATATAACTGTTATCAGATGTCTGACATCCTATAACTGTTATTAGACGTCTGATATTAGACATCAGACCTCTGATAACAGTCATATAACATAACATATAACATCAGACATCTGATAACAGTTACATGACAGCAGACGTCTGACATCAGACGTCTGCTGTCATATAACTGTTAGCAGACGTCTGACATTATATAACTGTTATCAGACGTCTGATGACAGTTATATAACATAACATATAAAATCAGACATCAGATGTCTGATAACAGTTATATGACAGCAGCTGTCTGATGTCAAACGTCTGACATCAGACATCTGATGTTATTTGTCTGATATCAGACGTCTGACATCAGATGTCTGATAAAAGACAAATGACATCAGACGACTGATAACAATTATATGACAGCAGACGTCTCATATGAGACGTCTGACTTTTATTTTAAAAATTTCGAGGAACAGAGCATTCAATGTCAGTACAAGGTTTGGAACAATTTACAGAGCTTCTACACTAAAAAGTACCGTTTAAAAAATAGCACGATTAGCCTCCCCGCAGACGTCCTTGGGGTTCGTTCGTCATGCATTCATTTCTCTGTAGGGAAGAAATGAATGCGTGACGAACAAACCCCAAAGGACGTCTGAGGGGAGGCTATAGCACGATAGGCAATCAGTTTTTGTTTTCAAAATTAGCAAACATTGAATTTACTTGTCCCAAAAATTTGAACTGGTTGCTCCTTCTACCTGATAGTAATTTATTTTTGCAATTCCAAAACAATTTGACAGCTGAATTTTGAGCGACTTTTAGTTACGGACTTCTGCTCCCAATATTTTTCTGAAAGTTCGCTGGCATATTCATTATATCAATAAAAGCCGATACCACAAATTTCAGTAAAAATATCAGCCAAATTTTTTACTAGATGCAATTTTCTTGGTCCCAGGCTATTACCCAACAACAAATTCTGCCTGGATCTGATCTGGTTATCACGTGGCGTCATAGATGCTGATACTGTCTTTGCTTGCCTTTTTTAACAAATATCTCTTACAAAGAAAGACTAATGTCTGTAAACGTACTTCCTGTGTGCTACTGCCACAAGTTACTAGATCTAGTATACTTTTACAAGGCTACGCATAATATGATTCACTTAGATCCGTCTGTTATTCCCTTCATGCGCGAATGCGCGTGAAGGACCCATATATCTGTAACGAGCTCTCAATCTTTTGTGCCTAAAACATGCAGGACTTCTACCTTTCAGAAATCTTTTTTCATTAGAACCACTAGAATCTGGAATCTGCTTATTACTAGACTTGACCTAGACAACGTTACTTTTGAGAACTTTAAATCTGTTCTTTACAGTTATTACTCGCGGGCTCTAGCAATAAACTATGACCCGGACTCTCCAAGGAGCTTCAAAAGTATTTGCTTGAAATGTAACACAGCCAGGGTTTTAGACCAAGAAATTAACTGCTGCATGTGATTTTTATTTTATTTTTTGGGTCCGCAGAAATTAGCTTTAGCTGTTGCGGTGTCCCTGCCCAAATATTTAAGTTATTATTAGTGTATTGTTACGTTCTTATTACTAGTGTTTGCATATCTTCAGTGTTTTTTTTTTGTATTCTTCAGGGCAAAGCTAATAAAAAAAAAAATGTTATTACAAAGTAGAAACATCTCAAAAGGTACCCACACCTTTCTCGCCCTAATGGCTTTCCATGCTTGCTTGCTACAAATTCCCCTCCAAACACACTATATAGATTACTTTCTGAAGACATTGATGCACTTTCATTTCCATCAGTAGAATTTGTTGCAGAATCACTAGCTGTAAAACAAAAAATAAAAACCTACAGTAAAAACTATGGTGGCATTAATATATTTACAAATTTATATTAATATATTTCTAACTTCTAGTTACAATGTACCTGACTGAGTGATACGAACAGACAACACTGGAATGGAGGCCTTTGTTCTATATTTCCTTTACTATAATTTTTGTCTATTTTTAATACTGCTTTATAAGAGAAAGTGATAAAGTAAACCCCTTTTACTCTGAGTGTATCCAGGGCTAGCAAAGCAAACCCATATGAAGGTTAGTAAAGATATGGCTAGTATCAAGAATTACTTTAAGAGGTTCCGTTATTAAGCTGGCCTTCATAAAAAAGTCATACCTTTTCCTGGATTCTGTGAGGTGGCAGCTCTAGTGTGATGTGGGTTGCTTAATCTCTGCTTGTCAAGTGTGCTAAGGGATATGGAGTACTCCTCCCAGGGAATGAATGGAAGCTTAACTACATTGTGTCGTGTTGGAAGATTCAAAGGCTCCTGAATAAAACAAAAGGAAACAGATAAAGAATCAATAATTCATGAGCTAACATAAATATACCTTCCGACTTTTGCTAAGTCACATGCATGTGATTTTCAACTTCAGAAATGTCCTGAAGACATTAAGGGGACTTTTCAACATGACAGAAGACCTCCTCAGATGTTCTGATGATTTTCAAGGCACCATCTTACCAAGGTATCATGAGATCTTGAGAAGCTTTTATAGCTGAGATTGCAAATATCTTGGTGAGATAACCTACTTGGTTGTTTTTTTTTTTTGGAATTGTCTGTTATGCAAGTGAATTGTCCGGTAGCTTTACTGAGGCTGAAGTTTTCAATTTATGGGCACATGACAAACATATAATGAGTGTGAGTTGGCACTAATAGGTATAGTAAAGCATTAGTACCATCCCTATGAGGTGTGAAAAATAATCATGAAAGTCACACTGTGTGTCACTGTCAACCTCTGTAGATGCAAAAGGTAAGCCTGCAGAACTGCCATTATTTTTTCATGTTTTTCAGGCAAGCGAAGGCAAGCATGAGGTGAGCAAGGAGTATGACGCACATGTAATGGCAAAAGGCCTTCCCCTGTTAGCTTATGATGCAGTTGTAATGTTATTTCTAATGGTGTTTTCAGGTTGAAGTAGCCAAGTAGAAACAATACATTCTTGACAATACATCAAGACATTCAATTAAGGTAGACAACCCACATTAACAACCATTGCAGCATTTAGTTGTGCTGACTACTGACAACCACAGTACTGACATTCTTCCAGTAAGTAAATTAATGTTTAATAAGATTATTGAACATTACATTATTTTGTAGCTTCTCCACAAAGCTGATGGGATCTTGAAGAGCTTTAGCTTGTTGTTTGTAAAGAACATCAAGGTCCTTTAAAAAATAGAAAGAAAAGAAACACAGCAACTTAATTTTTCATTTCTTCAGAAGGTAAACACAGCCCAACTTCTTGTAAGTGCATGGGCCACCCAAAATAACAAGATTCGGTGGTTGTTGCAGTAAGTGGTCATGAATGATTGTAGGTAAAATCCATTCTCAGATTAAAACAGGATTCAACCTAGATTGATTCAGAATTTCCTTTGATTCCTAGCCATTATTACCTTAAGGGAGACAAAAAAAATTCTGGTTAAAAATGAGAACTAATTTCACCTACAACAATCACATTCAAGAGTTGACTCACAACAGGGTCTCTACCACATCCCCATCACATTATCTAATAATTTTTATTTATTTGTAATCCTTTGATAAGCAATCAGCCCATGTGGCATGTGTTTGCAACACAAACGAGATGTTTGCGGCCAATAATATTATAAGAGTCAGTTACGTAGAGATTTTTTGTATCTATGGCTGCATGACCTCCAAAAAATATTATTGTATTGCAGCTTACACACTTTTTATGATAGAAATTTAAAATTACCTTGACAGCTTGACTCCTTTGTGATTCTAGAACCAACAAGGACTGTAAAAGCAGATGATAACTACAAAAAACAATTAAAAATTAAGGTTGCTAGAAATTTGCTCCTGTTTAATACTTTTTGAAATGTGATAGCAGAAGGGGAGTTGTGCAAGCTTTTGAGTCACCATCACTTAAAAGCAAGATAAAGGGCATTTTAATCTGTTGCTATGGTAACCTGTCTTATTGCCTGGAGTGGTCAGTAAAGAAAAAGACAATAATCAGTAATCAATCAAACTGTCACGTTAACCTACTGGTGTAGGTAAATCAGTAGTCCAAGTAGAATTTTTTTAATTACCTTCATTTCCATTAAAAGTCCTCAATAACTGGCAGTGCATATATAGATCCCTTTGGAGAGTTGCTATGTTGTTGTTGTAATAAGAATAACTGATCCAACAGGAAAACATCATAATTTATTTAACATTGTGACTTTTTAACATGATGATTTATCATTTACAGATAAAAATCAATCATGATAAAAGTCACAAAATTTTTTATCAGTGATTAATCATCAATTCCAGTATACATGTAAATCATTAATTTACTTCTAGTTGATTACTAATGTTTCATTAATTTACCATACAAGGATAATTGACGAAACACTTTGACTGATAAGTGAGAATTGTAATGATTTATATCATTCATCATGTTATATGATTGCTTGTCTAACAATTTAGTCACTTTGACACGGATAATGACCTTTTGATCATGTAATGCTGGTCTCCATTAGGCAATAAGCAGGAATATACTGTGGGAATTTGCATGATACTGTTGCTGTACTATCAAGTGAAAAGAGTGCTGTTATTGGTCTTTTCTGGTACATGTTAAGCGAATGCAGGAAACCATCTCATAGCTACTGCAGAGCATGTTTTTATCTTAAAAATTACACTTACTGTTTATTGTCTTTCAATGCCAAATGATCTGACTCAAAATAAAAGCGATTACAATGATCAACATCTTCATCATCCTCATCTTCTTCACCACCAAGCTGTTCACCATCCGTTGAGAGGACATCTATGGAAACAGGTTCCTTTTCTAAACTAATGGAACCCCTACCAAGTTCATGACTAAATATTTTGGGTTGAATTGCTGGTAACTTCAAGTCACTGGTTTCAGTACTTTTTTTATTCAATTCTCCACCTTTGGTAGAAGATATCCCAGCGTTTTGATCACTTATGCAGTTAACGGACCCAGCACTTATGTTTTCCATACAATCACCATTTCCATTCACTTCCATATAAATTTCCCCTGCACTGTTAGACTCAGTACTCTTTTGTTGCAAATTATCAGACACTTGATCATTCAAATAGTCG